GCGCGATTCGACATTTTTTACTTAACTTAGTGCCAACGAGTTTTCTCAGCCTGAAGGCTCTCACCCTCGATCCTCTGCTCACCGGATTCTCTCTCTCTCTCTCTTTCTCTCTCTCGTCCTCGTTCAACCCTTCCATTCATTCTTCGCCTCGTTTGCGTCCGGTCGACGTTCCTCCTGCTTCCTCGGCAGTACAGTTTCGTCGGTTTTCTCTCGCTTTCGATGATTCCCGCGGCAAGGGTTGTAATTCGTACGTGAGTGTAAATTTTATAATAATAAAAGCCCTATGTCTCTGTCGTCCCGCGCGATACAACGACGGACGCGTTAATTTTCACGTCCATCGAACGGACGAGACGAGCCCGGGGACGAGGCGTCTGTCAAGAGGAGAGAAAGATCTCTCCTCACGGAGTTTATGGCTTCCGCTATCGCCCCGAAACGTGGCGAGCGTGTCGCGATACGGCGCGAGCAACCTCCTTCCCGACTTTATGGTTATGCGAAATTCCTCTCTTCAGTCCGGTCGTAAAACTATTTTATAGGAGATGTAGACACTGGTTGTTTATTGCTTGCACGACCTCTCCCATGTACAAGGTCGAATTACAGCTAAAAGCCCGTGTTCTACACGACGTGATAATATACGAGGCCTCCTAACGTCCCGACATTTCGCCGATTTCCCTCGCCGTCTGGCCGGGCCTCCGACGTTCACGACTCACCGCCGCGAGCACGCGGTCCAACGTTTTTACACGGCTACGGCGTGTCTATTGTCTCGTATTTTTACATAGATCGTGAAATATCTCGACTTACCTCGGAGGAAAGCTGCGCCTCTACGTTGCTGGATTCCGTAGTACTTTGCTGTTGTCAGACGTTTGTCGATCGACGGTCGATCGATGTGATTGCGGTGTGTGTATCGAGAGTAACGAACGAGAATTCGGCCGGGGATACACGTTTTTATTCGCATTTCACGCTGCACAGTATATAAACTTTCGCCCTTCGTTCAGTCTCATTATGTACAGAAGATGCGGAGAACGTAAGCGCAATAGAAAAAAAAAA